TCTTAGGACAGAGGCCGTTTTCACTTTCCACTCTGCTTTAAGGGATGAGGCTTGCACTTGAATGTTGCCCCTGACTGAAGCAGAGGTGTACTGAAGTAGCATTCTGTCCAATAGGAAAAGCAGGGCACAGCCATAAGTGACAGAAAACAAGTCACATGACCTTTAACAACAAAGTTATCTCCATGTCCAACACACTGTTTACTGCAGTAAAAAGTGCCTGGATTTGGCTTCTTTCTTTCTTCTCTCCAGATACCTTCTCCACCTCTTACTCCACCATGGTGTCCCCTGTTATATTCCCAAAGCCTTACTATTGCAAGAGCGGACCCCTTCCGCCATCGAGACCCGGTTCTCTTTCTTGGAAGGTGCTTCTAGGTATCACTCACATCTCATTGCATGTTTGTTCTGCACCTCTTGGCTGCCCCTCCTTCTACAGGTTCTTAGTTCCCTTGCTCTGTTCTGCCTCCCCAAAGAACTTGCCACTCTTTGTTACTATTTATAATATCGATCACTTTTCTGTCACCCTTTACTGCCTTGTAAACCATATGAGAGCAAGAATCAATCTTAATCTTTCCCTCTCTCCCTCCCCTCTCTCTCCTGGTTATGTCCCAAACTGCTAAATCAATGGCGCTCAGTAAATATTTCTGAATGCGTTTTCTAGAACTGTAAGCATGAGTGGTCTCCTCCTGTGGGTTTGGAGTAGTTAAACAAGGAAGGTGGCCAGTGAAGTGAGGGGTGAGACAGCCAGGTTGGAAAATGGTCAGAGGAAGAGCCAGGTGCCATAACACCTGCCTTTGGGGAGTGGAGGTCCCGGAAGTATCAGGAATCCCAGGGCCAACCCTGCTACCCAAGACCTTTGGGAGAGAGAGTAAGAAAGCAACAGGCTTGGTTGGGAATGACAGTTATTATCCAGAGCTGAGTGAAATGTAAGGTGGCATGCCTAGATTCTTGCTTTTTCACTAATTAGGCAGATTCCTTGAGTTTTCTGCCTTGTTTTTTATTGTTGTTTGTTGTATACACACACGTGCGAATGCACTCTCTCTCTCTCTCTCTCTCTCTCTCTCTCTCTCTCTCTCACACACACACACACACACACACACGCACACACACACACACACACACACACACACAATTATGGAACCTCTTGACTCTAATCCTGTTCTGTGATTCTCTCTAGGTTTTAATTTAGCAAAGTCAATTAGAGGTTAAGGAAGTGTATTCTCCAATACCATGTGCCATTGGAGTGTATGTGTATGTGCCAATACCAACATCTTTCCAACACCCTGGCCCTCTTCGAAGGTCGCAGTCTTCAGTAGTGTCATTTAGGTTATTTCAGTCTTTTCCTCGAGGCCTTGGATCTCTTAAAAGCTTAAACCAAGAAAATGGCCTGAGGACCGAGGTTCAACAAGCTAGGGCCCTGCTGATCAACCCTGTATTTGTTGGGTAATGCCCATTGTTACTTTCCTATCTCTGAAACTGAGGTGCCTCCGTGGGTCAGCAGATTACACTGAAAGGGAAATGGGCTTCATGCAGCGAGTGTTGGCTGAGACATGCCGTGTAGGAGAATCATAGGGGAACTTGGCTTATGGTCTTGTTTAGCTGCCACCTCATAGAATTTCAGATCTTAATCAGCTCCCCGCATCCAAACTCCTTTGTGGGTATCGTTCTCATGCCCATCATTGTTCACATTGTCTTCAGTTCCTGGAGAAGCCAATTTGATTTGTGGCTGTTTTGGTTTTTAACGTATGTCACTATCATAAAAGAAACCTCAAGACCCTTGGGTTCACAGTTAGTCTAGAACAGAGTCTGCGCCATTTGAGGTCTTCCCTTTGCATCCCCTTGAGCTTTGGAGTTGGTGTTAGCTGTTCATCATTAACAAGAGATGGAACTTCAGGCCTGTGTGTTTGGTGTCATGGGCAGCTCTTGGGAGAGATTCCCCATGGTCGGCTACACTGAGCCTGAAGGTTTTCAACAGACTTCTTTTGCTGCCCTGCTCTTTTGATAGTAACTAGACTTGGGACGATCTGTTCTTCCCACAAGAGTGCCCCACACTGCCCTGGGCATGAGCTAAATTCTTTCTCTCCCATTTAGAAGAGAAGCCAGATTGCTCCAAGGCTCGCTGTGAAGTCCAGTTCTCTCCACGTTGCCCTGAAGATTCCGTTCTGATCGAGGGCTATGCTCCTCCCGGGGAGTGTTGTCCCTTACCCAGCCGCTGCGTGTGTGACCCTGCGGGCTGTCTGCGCAAAGTCTGCCAGCCAGGATACCTGAACATTCTAGTGTCAAAGGCCTCAGGGAAGCCGGGAGAGTGCTGTGACCTCTATGAGTGCAAACCAGGTATGCTCCAGCTGGCTGGGCAGCATCGCCCCTTAGCATCAGAGGGCAACAGGTCCCTCCTCCAGGGTTCTCCAGGGCTTGCCCACTCCCACCAAAATGAGCATTCTTGGGGCTAGTATCTTCACATCAGGACTTTAATCGGAGAACCAGACGGATAATTTCCTGGTGCATGAGCACCATCACAGAGAGAGCCAGCCCTCTTCTCTTTCATCTTTATTTCCTTCAGGTGTGTTTGAAGACACCGTTGGGGGAAGAGTGTGGTACTATAGTTACCTGCTTCAATCCCTAAGAGGCAATCGGAGGCCTCGTTTGTAGATGCATCTGTCACTTGGAAGTTTTACGTTGAGAAGCAGTCATATATAAAACACAGTTACTTTGGGATAAATACATCCATCCGAATGGCAGATGTTTTATAAGGGAACAGCCCCAATTTTCTTCCTTGACAGTCCCTCCCCGTCCGCCTTAGCTTCGAAGCATGCTTGTGTCATTTGACTGTTTACACACCTTCTTTGCCAGTATTGGAATTCTTGTCATGTCTCAGCTGTTTTTCCGCTTTATAGTTTATCTAACAGCCTTGCCCTTGTGCCAGTATTTCTAATGTAGTCTCTGACTAAATCTAGGTTGCAGTGGGTTCTTCTTTGCAAGTTTCTAATGGCTGATAAATTTTTAAAATATTTTTCCCTTTTTTTTATTTTAGTTTTAATGTTAGGTAAATGTCTCAGGCAAAGAAATCCCTTGTCCATCCCTTGAACTGCTCTGTCAGAAGCACTTCTTGCTGTCCATCGCCGTCCATATTACCACATGGTCTCACTCTGTTCTCATCCTGACTCTTGTCCTCTGTTTGAATCATACCAGCGTTCTTTAGCATTGACTGAAAGGAAAACACTAGAAGGGCCCCCTGGGTTTCAGGGAAGCAAGGAATCTTTGGACATTTGTCGAGAGTCATTATTTCATTTGGGGATTCAAAATTCAAGTAGATGTCACAATAAATGGTGATTCTCTGTTTGCCCCTTTCAGTTTTCAGCGTGGACTGCAGCACCGTGGAGTGCCCCCCTGTCCAGCAGGCCGTGTGCCCCCTGGACAGCTACGAAACTCAAGTGCGGCTCACAGCGGATGGCTGCTGTACCCTGCCGGCAAGGTTGGTTTGTCACCAGTTCAAGTTTCCTTTCTGTCTTATTTGCTAGCACCATCCCTGGTACAGTTTCTCAAGCCTGTAGCTCATTTTCCCTTGGGAAACCCAATCCCTGCCTGTTTCTCTGGAGAAACCGCTGGACTGTTACTATTACTCGCTATTTACATATGTCTTTCCGCACATCAAAGCCAGGTGTCATCAGGTTAAGCCATTAATCTTAAGGATTAAGACTCTTCCTGAAAGCACTTGGAGGCCTAGGAAGTAGGTGGGCAAGCTTTCCCCTCTGCATATGGATTAGGAAGCAGAATCAGGGGTCTGTGATAGTGAGGCATGCCATTTGATCTTGTGGGTATTGAAGCCAAGTGCCCAGTGTTATGAAACACTGCCTGCCTCAAAGAGCTCGTCAGAAGGAACTCTGGACATCTGGAGTCATGCATCTCCCGAGGCCTATTTCTTACTGAGGCAAAGGGGTGTCTGAAGTCTCAACAGGAACTCCGTTAAAGGACAGGGACAGACACATTGTCCTTTAACTGGGGGAGATAAGCTGCCATCGTTTTAACCTTAGAAACAGGGCATCCATTGAACACGGTAGAACGAGGTTTCTCTAGAATGTGAGAGCCCTTGGGTCTGCTGTTGATAGTCTGTAGAGTACCACAGTGATGCTGGCCAACGGTACATGGTTTTCAGGGAAACTGGGTTTGCAGTCTGCTTCCCCTTACCCGTGATACCCATCCCTCTTCCTCGTCGTCACTGCCCCCTCCATCTTTTGTAGCCCTTTATGTCATCTTTGCAATAAAGACATTTCATTTCTTACCACTTCTGTTCTTCATATAGTATCAAGAGCTGAAACCCTTCCTTATTTAGTTCCATCCATAACCTCTGCTGCAGTCCAGCCCCAGTGCCAAGCATTTGGCATTTAGTGTTTAGATTTACTGCATGGGTAGGTATGGTTATAGGAATGGATTTATGAATTAGGAATATAAGTAGTGCATAATGAAAGTAAGCATGTGATAGTTGGGGTTCTTGCTTCGACCAAATTCTTGAGATTGATTTTGGCTCATGACCTTGGAGGTTTCAGTCTGTCATGGGAGGAGGGTGTGGCAGGGCAGTTCACCACATGACAGCCAGGAAGCACAGAAGAGAGATTTTTTGTTCTAGGGAACTCTTTTCTCCCATTTGTTCCTCTGGCCTCTAGCCTACGCAGTAGTACCATTCACATTCATGGCAGGGCTCCCCCCACTTAGATAATCCTCTCTAGCAGTGATATCTCAGACACACTCAGAGCTGTGTTTTGCCTGCCACCTAGACCAGGACCAGTGGTTCTCAAACTTTGGGGGTCACATATCGGATGCCCTGCATATCAAATATTTACATTGTAATTCATAACAGTTGCAAAATTGCAGTTAATGAGGTAGCAATGAAATAATTTTATGGTGGGAGGGAGTCACCACAAGTGAGAATGTCGTATTTATGTGAAGCTGTGTGAAAGCGGATGGACACCCACGCACACATAGGTACAGCCAACCACCAGCAAAAAAACAATGGAGCAATACTAGTAGTCACAGATGTTCCTGCAAAGCCTTCATGGAAAGGAAGACAGTACACTGTGTCAGAGAACCTAATTAATCCAGACTAAGCCTGTCCTTGAGTAAAGGACCAGGAGCTCACTTTCTCGACTGTGATTGAGCACCTCATGTGTCTTGGCAGTACAGGGGACTTTTTTTCCCAGTCACTTTTGTTGGGCGAAACATATAGAAGCTGTAGGAAGACAGTAAATCTCAGTTTAAGAAGAAAACTTCACAACTAATAACACTCAGCAGTGAGTCATGCTGCCTTTTGAGGCAGACTTGAGGTCCTGGCACTAGGTAGATCTCTTCCCATCTGGATGGCTGCCTGCCAGCCGTGCTTAGAAGAAATGTTACATTGGAACAGAGGTTGCACTGGATGCCTTCTGTTTCATCTAAGCTTCTGCGAGTCTAGTAAACAGAAACCTGAGGGTGGTTATTATTGTATTAATGTAATTTTGACTTGGGCACTCAGCTGGAGAATGGTCCAAGGTAAATGTGCCTCTAATGATGGAACTGAAGAAGCATGGAGAAGGAAGTTGTTCCAAGTCCCACTGTCAATTATTTGCAGAGAGGGCTACGTTCTCACAGCTCTTACTTTCCTGTGTGTTAGATAGGCAGTGACCCATGCTTGTCTCCTTCCCTGCTACACACTCACCCTTTGTTCCTGCCCCATCAGTGCTCTCCCCAAGTGTCCGCATGCTCAGGAGCCCAGTATTTCCACTGGGCTTTCTCTGCCTTTCTCTTCTCGACCTGGGCAGCATCTGCCCTCTTTGAGGATTACATTTTCTTCCCTTGAAAGTGTTTTCCATCTTCAGCCCTTTCAGATATTGCTGGTGTGCCCTTCTACTCCCTTGTAACTCCTCATTTATCTGTTTATAACACCCTTTGTAATACAGTGAAATCATTAGGTTGTTTTTTTTTTTTTTAATTTTTTGTCTCCACTTTTCTTTGTGATTCTCAAAGAAATGTGGGTGTTTGTGATCTCTAGGACACAGGAGTAATTTAGCCAGCCTGTATTTATGGATGGATGGATGCATGCATGGATGCATGGATGCATGGATGCATGGAAAGAACACTTGTAATTTCTTTATCCTCTTCCCATGACTCATAATGCTACTGTTTTGTGTCTCACTTTAAAAGCCTTGCACTTGCTCCAAGACCCTTTCTCTATGCTCTGCTACATTCCAGTACCACAGAGACCTGGCTCCCCCAACACTGTCCTCCCTAGCACAGCAAGAGTCAATCTTTATCTCTCCATTCCACCTTCTCTCATATCATTCATCCTGCAGGATTCCAATTAAACCCCACTTTATCCACAAGGTCTTCATCTTTCAACTAATACCTATCCTGCCCCCTGGGAACTCCATGTATATCCTTCTCCATGCTGCCAATTAATCGTAGATTTCCTTGCACCTTTATTCCATTGCTACACACATAAAGTCTTATCTCACTAGCTGAAGGGTGTTTCTAGAGGTCATAAATTGTGTCATCTTGTCCTCTGTGTGTGTGTGTGTGTGTGTGTTAATATTGGTAAAAGCAGAACATGTATGCTCAGGCTGTCTTAAGCCTGTTCTGGTTAGCTTAGCATATTAACTGGGGTCTCTCTTATTAGAGGAGTTTATAGGTCACACTGTGATAAAAGAACGAAAGCCCAAGCAAACATATAAAAATAGAAATAAAAAGAAAATTGCCTAATTTATAGTAATAGCACGACAGAACTATATTTCGGGCACACTGCGTAGAATGCATAAAATCCTATCATGATCATTTGACTTGCTCATCTGCTTGTAAAGACCACTGCTAAGAGCTCAGAGCAAAGCTAATTGGTAGAGAATTCAGTCAGGAGAGCCCTCTGGGGTTTAGAAGGGGGAAATAGCTGAAAGTGTGGTGTAAACATTTACTCTTCACTGAGAGTAACCGCTTTTTTCGAGGATTCACTGTACTTTCATGCATTCAACAAAGGGCTTGGGAACCTCATCTTTTCCTAGCAAGATTGTTTGACCTAGCCAGGCCCCCAGCTTCTCCAACTGTGTGAGCTCCTGCTCAGCTTGTGAGTTTCCTCTTAAGTTGTGTGCTTTTATTCCACTCATTCATAACGTAACGGTTCATTCATCAAACACGGGTGAAGTCTTACACGGGACAGACTCCACTCTCTGGGTGTTCTTATTACAGCGGGATAACACTCCCTACTTCTGCCACGGATACACACTGATTTTCCTTCCTATCCCTGGGCCCTGTGAGAGCAGATCCTTGCAGCATCCCTGCCTTCACTTTATGGCCCAAAGTCCATTTTGGGCTCTTCTGTTTGTGTTCTCCTGAAGTGCATCCCGAGGGTGATAGATATTTTTCACTCTTACATGTCAAAGAGTTAACTGCTGACGGATTCTCAGTACTCAGCAACCTGGTGCAGAGTTGCAGGCACACTGAAGTTTTTCAGTCCTTTCCTGTTGGTACCACTATGTGATGTCAGCAGCTAACTCAGACTTTGTCAGAAAAGACAGAAAAAGATGAGAATTAGCATCTCGGGGCCTTAATCAGGGTCTGAACACTACTGCACAGTAACAGAAGGAAAAGTGGAATGCCCTGTAGGGTTGTGACCTCTTTGTGCTTATAGTATCCGTGAGTGTGTGCATGGTGTGTGTGCATGCACAGATGCCACCATGTAGAGGTGTTTTGTAACAAAACGACTGATGTGTTGTGATGTTGATGGCAAATGATGACTTTGTAGAGCTGAGAAAGCTGTCCTTAAACAGCATGGGGACAGCAGTAACAGGCATAGCTTAACTGCATCACATACCCTGCTAATTACAAAGCCTTTGCCCATTTTATCATCGCTCTAGCACCATGAGGAATTTACAGTCTAGTAAATGGAAATCCAGGGAATGAGTGGCTAGTGTAAAGACACAGCTGTTCCTAGGCATGAGGGGTAGAAGAGGTCTGTCTTCAGCTCAGGATCTTCGGAATCCCTGTGCTCTTTCTTCTGTAGTGTTTGTTATGTCTTTCCGTTGTTAAAACAGAATGATGAGTCAGCAATATGAGCTTATGCCTCACTGACATGTTTATATCAGCAGAGTACAAATTGGCGATATATACATGCTTCAATTCTGCTTTGCCGTCCCCAAGATTAGTACCAAAGCAAGAGACCTTCTGTGTGTCACCATTCTTTGTGCTAGCTAGGCAGTTCTCTGTGGTCATAAAGGGCTGGATGCCATTTGTGTCTCAGAACTCTGCTGGGATGACTCGAAGGACAGCTTGGTGTATGACTTTCCCATCCTGAACTGCTTCACGTGTGCCAGAAGAAGGAAGTGTTACAGCAAGCATCTCCAGAGACCCAGATGTGGCTATCCCTACTCCTGCCACATTGTGTGTGCAAGCAGGTCACAGAATAAGCCCTATCCAAAGAGTATCAGAGTGGATTACTTCCTTTTGAAGGAAGAA